TATTCTCATGAACTTATCCGCGAGCTTGAGGAATTCGGCCACGGTTGCGGGCTGGTTAGCTACCATGTGCCATTTGAACTCCTTATGTGCTACTCCTCTCTTGGCCGCCGCGAGCTGCACCGCGGGGTCCAATCACGGTATCTGCAAGCACGCATCATTGAATCGCTTGATGTAGCCCCGGATGGACTCTCCTTCCCTTTGGACTACTCCAAAGATGCTCTCCTCGGTTCTGGGGCATTGCTTGCTGGTGACAAAGTGTGCGGTGAAGACCTGCACGAACTGGGTCCAGCTTCTTATCGACCCGAGGGCTAGGTTCCTGTACCAAGTGCGGGCCACCCCCTGAAGGTGGTGGTGAAGGCCACACACATGCACGATTCACTGGCCTTTAACTAGATGCATTTGGGACTAGAAAGCATCAACGTGGTCGTTAGGGTCGAAGGACCCATCATATTTGTCCAAAGGTGGGAGCTTGAAGTCTCTGGGCATGGGGACTGCCAGGAGTTCTGATGCGAGGGGGGAAGGAATTGAGAGAATCGAGGCGGCTTTTACCTCTTCTGAGCTTGTCTCTTCTTTACCTCTGAGCTCGGGCAGGACACGGGTGGCAGTTCGGCAACTTTGCTGGTGCCTTCGTTGTTGAGTGGGCCTGGTGCTGGCACTGCTGGCCTCTGTGTTGCCGAGCTCGATTGGCCCGGGCTGTTGGTAGTCTGCCGCTAGGATGCTGAATCGATTCTCTGTCAGCGGGAGCTCAGACTTGGAGTGCCGAGATACTGACTTGGTGGGCGAGGTGCCCGACCCGCCGGTGAGCTGCGAGGCGGGGGTGATTTTTCTTTCCCCTCGGCTTGGGGATAAGGGCTGGCTCTTGTGGGGGTTCTGAGGTTGGGAGGCCTCTCCTCGGTGAYGGCGTCCACCCTGAGGGGAGGGCTTAACCGGCTTTGGAGCAGGGTGCCGAGGTGGAAGCAGTGGTTGGTTCAGAGGCAGTTGGGGGAACTGCTGCTGATAGTGATACTGAGAGATGTGGTGCAGTACTTGGTGCTGCTGGAGATGATGTTGTTGGAATTGTTGCATTTGGGCTTGCATTGCCCCCATGCATTGCATCAGATCGTCCAACTGGTTCTAACTGGTCGCCAGGGGGACAGTAGTTGGTTCAGTAAAGGTTGTTTCGACAGGAAGAGGAAAGGGGACGCTCATGGCAGGAAGGTTTACGGGCGCCACTGTTTGTGGCGCATTCAGGCTGGAGATCCCATCCAACAGAAGGGGGATAGTGAACTGTCCGATGCACACCACGGGGACTTGAAGTTGTTCCCCGGTGGTGTTCATCTCCGTGCCACATCCGGCATTGCTGGAAGAAGCCATGAGTGTTGGGTTTTTTGGAAAAAAGAGGTTATGAGAGTTTTAGAGGGAGGCTTTTAGAAGCGTTCCCACAGACGGCGCCAATTGATGGTGCGCAATCCGACCAGTCCTAGCTGTCAACGACCTTGCCTCTGACTGGAGCAACAGGGGGCCTGAAACGGAGAAGAAAGTGGGGAATCTCCGGGGAGGAACCCGGTGAGATYRCTCCGAAGCTCAAGTTAGTATTCTCTCAAAGGCAAGATAAAACCAGATGGCRCAAAGTTCACATACCTTGTTCTTGGGGGGTAGAGAGCCTTTTATAACCACCTCACGCACTCACTCCTAAGCTTCTGTCAGGTCGGGTATGATTACTTCTGTGCTTTTGCCAGTTCGGGTGTCATTACCTCTGCTGGGGCAGAACTGCCACTGCTCTCTTTGTCGGAGCCGTCTCTGTAACTGGAGATGGCGGTGGCAGGTGGTCGTTGAAGTGCGGCTGTCAAGCGTCAGATCCCAAGTCAGTCAGGTGCGCTGACCCTGGATACGGACTCCTTTGGTGTTAGGTACGGTGTGGTTTGTTTAGTTCGGCGTCCTAGAGGCGAAGTGTTGGAGTGGTGTGCGAGGTGAAGTATTGAGTTCGGATAGAGGTGTGGCCCGAACTGCCATGGGGCAGGCCAGTTCGGGTTGTTGCCCTTTGTGTTCGTAAGGCTCGGGGCCTAAGGAAGAGCTCGGGCTCCTTACGGGGAGTTCGGGCTCCTTGCAGGGAGTTTGGACTGCTGGTTCCTCCTTTCGGAGTTCGCACCTTGGCGAGCTGTTGTGCCGATCTGTTGCCTTTGCCACGTGTTGAGTGGTTACGAGGTCGGGCCAAATCTTCCTTCATCAGTAACAATACAAAAACAAATAAAAAATACACCTATATATTTATGCAAAAAAAACACTATAAATTATATTTATGCAAAAAAAACCTTAAACAAGCTAAAGGCTTGAAGTCAAACTTGGATAACTGACCGTGTGTTATGGGCTTTCTTGCTCACCCCTACAAGTTGGTCATTGTCATTAACTGACCGTCCGTTATCTATTGAAAATGTCAAAACTACTTTTCAAAAGAAGACACTGTTCAATGTCTTCTATCTTAAGATTGAACCAATTATCTTTAAAGTAAAAGAGAGAAAAAACATGAAATATGATAGAGGGAAACAATAACYGAAAGAAAATAAATAATTAGACAATAATGTGTTTTAGATCTAAAGGTAGAATACAATGATTTCAATAATCTACACCTAAACCGGTTTGGTCACAAGGCAGAAGACAATGAATAGTATCTTCATTTGAAGGGTAGTTTTGATATTTTCAACATATAACTGCCAATGGGTTAAGATATTGCAATGACAGGTTTTAAAATTAGGGCACTTTTTGAAATGTTAGGTATTGCAATTAAATATTTGAAAGTTCGGGTACAAACATGACACTATCCCCAAATTTCTGATACTAAAGTGGAATTTTCCTTTTAAGTATTTTACCTTTATCCGAGTTCCCTCCACGTACGTCCCAATCTCAAAACATTCAAACCAAAAACAATTTCAAACTCTCAAACCAGTTCATAGGCACATTACATTAAAACGTATCGAAGGCGACCAGATGCTCTGGAATTCAAGGGCATCGTTTTATTCAAAACATGCCCTTAAATCCTAAGCTGTCCTTGAAATCAAGAGTTCCACAATCCAATATCCTAACACTTTCAATGACGGACGACGACGACGACTTTCAGAATCCCGTCGCTGCCATTTCTCGCACCCGGAATTTCAATATTTCATCATTCGGGAAACCCACCAGGACCAGTTCTTCACAACCTCTGAAGCCCTTTAATGGTACTCGCTCATCAAAGAAATCGAAGACTTCGACCGGTACTGGCAAAGAGAATGTCAGAATCACAAAAGGGATTGGTGAGATAAGAGGAATCAAGGCAAAAAATGTTTGCCATGAGGTTTCGACGGAGTCGAGAATATTGAAATCAATCATGGGTTACAGTTCTATTGAGCGCAATGAGGTAAAGGGCTCTGAATTTGAGATGGGTTGTTCGTCAAGTTCAGTCGAGTCTAAGATGGTGGGTTTAAGCAGGGATCTCTGTTCTGGGGATGATGATGGCATTCGGGTTGGAGTATCTGCCGAAAGCAATGACAGAACAGGAGATAAATCCGATAAAGGGTTAGTGTTTCCCTTAATAGAAGCTCGTTTTCCTAGATCGAGCTTGAGTTCCATTTCTAGGTGTGATGATGGGTGCTTGAATGAAGGTGTGTTTGGGGAAACTTCGTGCAAAGTTGGAAAAGAATTCAAATTAGATGAAGGATATTCATCAAATTCAACTGAACATAGATTCGCGTCGGGAACAGATTTCATCTCAACTGTCGATAATGGTTGTTCTGATGTGGACGATTGTGGGGATTTTGTGCCAGGTACACGGCTTAACGTGTTAATGAGTTTATGTTCTGAGCTTGATGAGGATTTAAATTCAAATGGATATGTTTCTCGAGAAGATAATGGTGAAGGCGATTATGTGGTTGAGTGTCCGTTATGTGGATTTGACATTTCTGTTTTGAATGAGATGCAACGACTTATCCACACCAATGATTGTCTCAATAATAAGGAAGCACAGCTGGTCCCCAAAGAAGATTGTTGTGTCATAGATGAAAAAAGGAAGTTACTAGGAAATGATTTTCCATCATATGGTGGCGTTTCTACTGATCACAGTAAGGAAAAGGGGCTTAAATCCGAGACATGTTGTTCGTCTAACTCAATTGAGTTTAGCTTACCAGAATCAAGCACACAATACTCTTTCAGGGTAGATAGTGCTTGTAGTGTTAATGCTAGTCTTGGAGATAGTGTCTCAGCTGGAAGTGATGATAAATGGAAATGTAAATCAGATAAAGGTAGAATCTTGCCTTCAAATGAATCTTGGGCTATGGATTTGAACATGGATTGCAATTCTAGGGTGGATGATGAATGCTTGAAAGATGATATGTTCAATAATAGCGTTCCAGCTTGGTGCAATGGGAAAAGGGGGTCCAAGTTGGAGACAGTTTATTTATCAAATTCCATTGAATCTAGATTGTTGGCATCAAGGACAGATAACAGGTCTGTTGTTGATAAGTGTTGCTTGGATGAGGGCAATTGGGTGGATTTTGTTCCAGGTTATGATCAGGAAGATCATTCAAGTGATGTTCTATTTGAGTGTCCCTTATGTCAAATGGACATTTCTGATTTAACTGAGGAACAACGGCAGCTTCACATCAACAATTGTCTTGACAAAGTGGAACAACAACAATTCTGCACTGATGATTGTCATGACAGATATGTAACTCAAAAGGTGACTCTCTGTCATTTTCCTTATATTCTAAATTTCTGATTAGATTCTATCATACTCTTTTGATTGGTAAGGTTAACTCCATCAGAAAAAAAGTGGTATGCACTTCAGTTGTTAGAGATTCTATTTTTGTTCTATTTTAGAAAAAAAGGTTATCTGTCTTTATTTGAAGATGGGAGTTTGGAATAACCCATACACTTAAAACCAGGTGCTATGTCAGTGTTGGGTACCAAATTTCTAGTGTAAGTTCGGTATCACTGTTAGGCGCCTTGTTCATGTTGTGTCTAGTGGATTTGCAACTTAGGTACCTGATTTGAAGATTTTCCACTGCAACCCTTTAAAAATTTAACAAGTGCTTATCCTATGCCCACCCAAGTTGCACCCCTAGTGTCTAGGTAACCTAGGAAATAACAGTTTCAGGGCTTCTTTCTTTCTAAATTTAAGGATTTGTCTTAATACCATTTTTAATTATTAGTGTAAGTAACCATAAAAAAAACTGTGTAAGTTTCTATCCTAGAGGCTGCTGTTTGGTGCAATGGAAAATCTCAGGCTGACAAGCATGAAATGCTACTTTGTGCAAGACATGCCTAAGGTTAGGTCCATATCCAGTTTACTCCTGACCCTCCCAAGACCCTAGATATCTGGGATCAACATTAGGAAATGTAGGGCTGCAATTTGGGCAGGGTTGAGCATTTGCCAAAATTTTAATGGGGCCAGCCTGTGTAAATTCTTCAAGTCAGACACCTGACTTGCACCCCTAGGGCAATGTCTCTTTCGTGTGTGTGTCTTTCTCTCCTGAGAGCCTCTTATTCCAACCTTTTGTTATTAGTATTCTAAATCAAGTTATCAACCTTTACTTAACATGGTTTTATAGTAACCACTAACTTATAATGGTTTGAAATCTGAAGTCATTGAGATGTTGATTATGCACTTCTATATAAGGCATGCAAAAGATGTTGATTACTGCAATTGAACAATGTAATGTTACCAAGCAGGATAGCTTTCGCCTTTTACCTTTGTTTGAGAATGTTAAAGAAGATGCCAAAAAACAAGAATGTCAAAGTAGAAAGCAACAGATCATGTTATTAGACATTGTGGATATTTCTTCCTTTTAACATTTTTTTTTTGAATGGAAGATGGGGCCATGGGGGTATCTTGCTTGTTTGTTAGTTGGAGAGATAGGATTCGTCTAGCTGTGTATATTTTTGTTAAATTGTTGAGTATTGTGTGTGTATATATATATATATATATACATTGCTGACATGTATTATCCATTATATGGAGTGATATTACATTTCAATGTTCTGAACCTGCATTCTTCATTTTCTTCATGTGGACCTGCAATTTTTCCTTGTGATGTTATATTGTTATATAGACTTAATGTCCATAAAATTCTAAATTGACCTATACTATACAAGCATGAGGTATACATCAATATGCCTTCCAAATGTTACTTCGCATTTATGAATTATGATTGCACACTGTGGAGGTTAGCTCTAAGTGGCAGTTTACCATACCAGCATTATATTTTTGTTTTACAAGCATCTTGGACCCTTGGACATTACAACTAAATCTGACAAATTTTCATGTTTCCAATATGATGCCATTTTTGGGATGTAAATGGTTGATGGCATGAAACCTGGATCTTCTTGCAGGTTGTTCCTCCCAGTGATGGCATGGAATCTAGACCTCCTGGCAAGCCAGTTGATGTTTCCCCGGTTCTAGAGTGGCTACAGAGGCTGGGCCTATCAAGATATGAAGAAGCTTTTGTCAAGGAAGAGATTGATTGGGACACCTTGCAGTGGTTAACAGAAGAGGTAAGCTTCATTCTTTTCTGATATGTTGTGTGTATGACCAGTGTTGTATGAACATGTCCACAGGAATCAGAAGCTGTTCCATGTCCTGGAGTCTGACTTGGCAAGGAGAAATATCATGGACCCACAAACATGTTTATAGAGAGCTATAAACTATTTAAATAATCCATACTTTTTCAAATTCGAACATTATATGCATATAAGTAAAGGACTAGAACTTTGTCTTTGTTACTTAATAATGGTTTCTAGAAAAATGGTGTTCATGTGCATATTATCTATTCAGTTATGTCAAATAAGCAAGTTGATAAAGGAAAATATTATGTTTAAGTGTCCATCAAGAATCTATGGAGTGTTGGAATCCTATGTGTGTCTGACATGGACACTTCATCCACTTTGGAGGGTCCATGCAACAGTGTACACTGTACAATTCGATAAGGATGCTGCATGAATTTGATTCAGAGAACAAGGTGCTGAGTTTTCTGATTACCACAGATTTATTCAACCAACAACCAAAAGCTGTCATTTTAAATTTTCTTTTTTGAGAAACTTTATGATAGATAATATTTGATGTATTTATTATGCKTGATTTTTTTGATAGATATTATTTTAATAATTGTATTTTATTAGAAGTTTAAGGGATTATAGCAGTTAAGGGCAACTTTCGGCCCTTAATATCAATAAAAGTAATATATTTAAAAAAATTTCAAAAATGGGTTAACTTTTTGAAAATAATATCAGTTAAGGGCAAAAACACTGTTCATCTTCTTCCTCTTGCAATCCATTCACCGGCACCACTGTCCACCGCCGCCTCCGGCAATGCCTCCGCCTATCTCCACCACCTCGGCCTCCACTTCCGACAACGTTGCTGGAGGTTGGGGGAGGCAGAGGCGGCGGCGGCGCTGGTGGTCATTCCTCTGCCCAACGCCGCCACCTCCGCCTCCGTCTTCGGCAACGTTGCCGGAGGTGGGTGGAGACAGAGGCGGCAGCGACAGCGCTGGTGGTCATTCCTCTGCCCTACGCCGCCACCTCCGCCTCCGTCTTCGGCAATGTTGCCGGAGGTGGGTGGAGACAGAGGCGGCAGCGACAGCGCTGGTGGTCATTCCTCTGCCCTACGCTGCCACCTCCGCCCACCAGCACCGCCGCCGCCTCTGCCTCCACCCACCTCAAGCAATGTTGCCGGAGACGGAGGCGGAGGTGAGCGGAGGTGGTGGCGTTGGGTAGAGGAATGACCACCAGCACCGCTGCCTCCGCCCACCTCCGGCAACGTTGTCGGAGGCGGAGGCAGAGATAGGCAGAGTCATTGCCGAAGGCGGCGGCGAACGGTGACGGATGGCGGTGCCAGTGAATGGATTGCAAGAGGAAGAAGATGAACTGTATTTTTGCCCTTAACTGATATTATTTTTAAAAAGTTAACCCATTTTTTATTTTTTTTAAATATATTACTTTTATTGATATTAAGGGCCAAAAGTTGCCCTTAACTGCTATAATCCCTTTTTTTTTCCTGAAAATAAAGGATTTTATCTAGGGATTAGATGTATACCTGAAAATGTGTTCTTCCAGACAAAATTGCTTGCCTGCATTCAGTTATGTTTGCACCTAGAGCTGTGGTTTGTTTACTTACATAGTTGCTATCTACTCATAGCCAGTGTTTGGAGAACTGGACTGGGCTTTGAACTGGAAAGGTGTCTTCCAAGTTTTCCAGTTCAATTAGGTTGTCTCGTTTTCAAAACATTGCCTGTTGCATATTTTCCTTCTCATTTTGTGTACCAGATTGCTGTTGTGATTAATCTAATCCCATCTTATCAATATTATTGCTGCAGGACCTACTCAGTATAGGTGTTACTGCACTTGGCCCTAGAAAGAAGATGAATGCCCTTAATGAACTTAGAAATGGAAGCACAAGTGGGGAAGACATACACGCTGGTGATTCTTCTAGAATTACACCTAAGGATACCAGTAAGCTTGCTGGGAATAAGTTAATTACCGAATATTTTCCAGGTTCTTCTATTAATAGGCCAAGACAATGTGCACTCATCAAAGGCAACCGTAAGTTAGAAAGAAGCAATAAAGATTCTGGTCTTGGAAAGATCTCAGTCAGAAATCACAACAAGAATGGAAAACTAAGAGATCTTCCTTCTTGGTGTTGCATACCTGGAACACCTTTCCTAGTGGTATAATGCCCTTTCATCTAAATGCTCTTTTGGTTGCCATTCTATATGTTTAACACACTTGTGATTTGTTGTAAGATTCTCCGTTTGCTTTTTTTTTTGCTTTTGTAATGTTATGATCATTGTTGTATAAKGTTTAGCATGATGAGACAATGASCACTATGCCATGGAACCTATGTCCAATATTTTAACATTAAAACTTTACATGGGTTTCACCTGATGGTAACAGTCACTTCAAAGTTGTTTTTTAGCAAATTGTCGGTAAGAAAAAATAACAAATGATAAAAAAACAACAAAGGACCTATTATCTTTCTGTTCAAGGTAACCATATTTTGTAGCTTGAAGCAATATTTTTTTTCCCAGATTACAATAAATTCTTAACCTCTTGCTTTCTTATAATTAAATTCCAACTTTATACTATTAGTGATCATTCTATTGGATTTTAAATCATAGGAGTGAATGAATTGCACCATTGAATCTTCATACAGCATTTTTGACATAGTTGTTTTTCTATTTTCAATATTTGCATAATTTATTTTTCATTTTGAACCTTACCATTGCAGACTTCAATTCTAAGACCTGGCATTGATCATGCAGGATGCTTTTCGGTATTTAAGAAGGGAATGTTCCCACTGGTTTCTGACTCATTTCCATATAGATCGTAAGTAAATTATACCATGGGTAATCCAAACATTATTTTCTTGGTTATTGCACCATTCAGTTTTCCACTTTTATTTATTGGGGTTTTTTGAGGACCTTGATTAATATTTAGGAATACATGGTAATCCAATTAGTGAATCTTGATGCCTATTCATCTACTAACTTTTTCTTTGCATTACTTGCTTTAATTTTTGAAAATTAGATCCATCATATCTTTGTCTTTTTTTTTCTATTCTTTTTATAATGAAGATTTATATTTGTTATTAAAAAAGAAGTGTTGTCCATGAGAAGGTCATACTACAGCATGTATATAATATGGCACCAAGTTTTTTGCCTGTCATGTCGTGAACATCCATCAACAACTTGAACAAGGGAGTAATGGGCCTCCCAAGTAAGAAACAAAGAAAAAAAAAATAGTTGACTCCTAAACCAAGATTAAGGCATGATTCTAGGCATCCAAGGGAGGGAGAGGGAAGGTATGAAGCACCCCTTTCCCCTTCTTATCTTGTGCATGCCAATTCTAATGAACACTAAAAAACTTAAGGATTTCTCCTATCTTTCAAATTACAATTGATGGAATATCATCTTCCATTCTCCAATCCCCTCTTTCCCTCTTTCTGGGTGTGGGAAGCCCTTCGAGGAGCAAAGGGACGAGTGCCTACACATCCATCCCCTCTTTATCCAAGACTTCCAACAATCTTACTTGAGGGGGGAAAGGGATTGTATCATAGGGAGCACACTACTCGTGGACTTCCCGTCAAATTGGGTTCAAGAGTCTAAAATCAACATAAGGAATGCAAAATTCAAACAATAAAAACTAATAATAAAAAAAAGAAGATAATTCTAATTCTTGAATCAAAGGATAAAGAAGCTACTCATGAGAAACCTACTAAAGACAAATGCAATCWTAGGTAGACATGCTAGAAAAAAAAACATAATACCCAATCCAAAGAAAGAGCAATATCCAAGAGAGATTAAGGAAGGATTCAACATGCATTAGTCTATTGGAAAACACCCAAATCACTAGGCATCCATAGGAAAGCCAAATTCAGGCTACCATTTTCAGTCATTCTTGAATGAAATAAACACAAAAAAAAAGAAAAGAAAAAGATAAAGACAATATAAATCACCTAAATTCAGTCTAGACAATTTATCTATGAGAAAACATAATTAAGCAATGCAAAAGGAAGAAGAAAAAACCTAATTCTGGATAGGTTAATCCCAAGCCATTAGTTACTATATGGGTTGTACAATCAAAGGCCAGCTAGACTGTGGGCTTGTCGATAAGTCCTAGGGGCATGCCTTGCAAAATGTTTTGCCGGTAATCCTGGATTTAGTGTGAAAGGGGTAACCTTGTTGTGTTGAAACTGTTATCAAGAGCATTGAACCTTCACTGAGATCACCTGCGTTGACTCAAACTGGGGTAGTCACAAATCCAAGTGTCTTGAAGAGAGAGAGAGAGAGATCCAAGCTAGCACAGTGTGAGGCATTGTGAAACCCTAGTACTACGCCAATCGATCAAAGAAAGGATTGGAGGCCATCCTCGGCCGTTTAATTTCCCAGTTGTCCCCATCATCTCTCTTATCGTTAGTCAACCCATTGAACTAATCAATCAGGCCTTTCCTTTGTTAAGCCAACCCGAATTCCTCAAGATGCACTTTGCAATGATTGAGAAAATAATTCATAAAAAAAGGAAGAGAAAAAAGAGAAGAAGAAAAAGAAGGGGAGAGAAGAGAAAATACAAAGAAAAGAAAAGAAAAAACACAAAAAAGCAAAAAAGAGATCTTGGTTTAGGAGTCAACTATTTCTTTTTCTTTGTTTCTTACTTGGGAGGCCCATCACTCCCTTGTTCAAGTTGTTGATGGGTGGCGGCTCATCTCATAGCCATGAAGTGACATCCAATCTCAATGGGATGTTCACACATGTGATGGATCTTATCAAGAAAATCTAGGTAGATCTCATATCATTGGATGATTATAACCAAGCCATCCTGAGTATCCTAAAAATCTAAGAATATATTGACTTATGTGTCATTTACCATAGCTTTGACTGCCCAAAACATCAGAGTTTGGATGTTTGAGATGACAAAATGTGGTTTTCTATCCTTGTTATGGCTGCAAGTTTCCTATTATTTTCTTGCCTTTTCTTTGGCATTAAAGTTAGGGCTATAAGCAGGTCTGATTTCCAACCACATCTGAATCGTGAATCATGATCCAATTATTAAAAGCTAAAATTCAAATCTAATCGGATCTAGGGGTCTCTGGGTCTCGGATCATGTTTTGATCCTATTGGGTTTTGGACTGAATTCGGATTTAATCTGAGTCCACACCATGAAAGTTAGGACAATAATCAGGTCTGATTCAGATTGGATCCAGTGACATCTGAATGTGATCCAATTGTTAAAAGCTTAAATCCAAATCCAATCAGATCTAGTGGTCTTGGATCATATTTTGATCCTATCAGATTTTGGTTTGAATTCATATTTAACCTGAGTCCATTTCATTATCTTTAAAAGGAAAAAAAAACTAATCACTTTTTAATTTATACATATGTATTAAACTTATATAAATATAAAATACTGACTTTAGTAATTATAAACCTTATACAATTATACATGTAAATATGTATACATGATATATCATATAAAATTTAGTCAAGCAAATAAAGTTTTTGATTGATTTCCTCTAGGGAGAAAGGAGGGATGCTTACCCACCAGATATTTTTACAAATGATTTTTTTTTTAAATCTTGACATCCAATTGGATTGGATGCAAATTTCAAAATCCGAATCCGATCTGATTATGTAAGTGGATCATCTGAATCCAAAGTAATCGGATCAGATCTCAGATCGGGCGTTCRATTAATGGACTCCATTGACATACCTAATTAAAGCCACTTGGTTGTTCAATTGAAGTGCAGTACTGTATTTCTTTGTGCAGATTATCAGGGCCTTACTAGAGGCTTCTGTTATGGGAAGATCTACCACTCTTCAGTTAAAACAACTTTTAAAAAAGAAAATTGGGATTCATTGGGGATAGATTACAAATCTTACCGCTCAACCAGAAGATTAGCATAGCAGGTGTTGGTGTGACATGCTTGGATGCAAACCATTGCCCAGGTTCCATAATCATTCTCTTTGAACCGCCAAATGGTAAGGTGGGTATCATTCGTCTATTTTGGCTAGTTGCTGTCGCTCTATTTTTTTTTAATTGTGTCCTTGTCATTTGGGGAAAATGATCCTGCTTACTTTTTGATTCAGACAGTTCTACACACAGGGGATTTCCGATTTAGCAAGGAAATGGAGAGCATGTGTGTTTTTCAGGGCTGCCCCATCCATACTCTTATCCTTGATACCACTTATTGTAACCCCCAGGTGAGTGAAAAGATACATGTAGCTCTCATCAAACAATATATGCTTTCTGCTGGATAGAAGGTAGGAGCGATCATGGGCTGGACTGGTTGGGGCTTAGCACCCATGATAAGGGCTATCACCTGGGTCTAGGTCTAGCCTGACCTGCACCCTGAGCCTGAAACATAAAGCTTTTGGGCCTATAATTTTCAATACATTATGTTAAATATTTAAATATACTAATTTTCTATTATAAGACAATATATGTATAAAATATATAGCTTGGAATTTTGTGGGCTGGGTTAGGCTTCCTGGTTGGACTAGAAATGATCACCCCTATCTGAAGGTCCCTGACTCAGGCACAGTCAACATACTAGAAGTTGGAAAATATATTATTAAATATAATGGTGCAATTGAATTGAGCTTTAATCAAACTGTTCAGCCTCGAGTTCTATTAGGCTTGATTCAAGGTCAATTCTAATTGAGTTTGAACCTTAGGGTAAGTTAGACTAGTTATTCGAACTTGAGTTTGACCAATAAAAGGTTCAGCTCAAAAGCTCAGGAGTCTAGCTTGATTATATAACTATATATATACAAATAAATATATTATACAATATAGAAATATTTTATAATATATAATATAATACAATATATTATATATTTTTAAAATATAGAAATATATTAGTTTTTTGAGCTTTCAAACCGAACTCAAACTTGAACATAGTAGTCTTTTAGTTGAACCGAGCCAAGACATCCCAAAGTTTGGCTCAATTACACCCCTAATTAAATACATTTTTTTTTAGCTCAGCCTGATGAGAAGACAGTTTTTAAGCCTCCAAGAGTGTATGTGAATTGATTGTGACTTTTATCTGTTAAATTAGGGAAAGAAGCTGCAGATTATCTAAAAAGGAACCATGCATGAATATTATGCCATTATTATTATGATTTTTTTTATTAATTTCTGCTCGGGAATTATCTTCTTTAAAGGTGCAAGTTTTTCAATCCTTTATCACTACATCATTCCATCTCTCTTTTTGGCTGAACTGCTATATTTATTTCTCTTTATTGCAAATGAATTTTTTGCACCTATTTGGTGACCGATTTCTCTTGGATGATGGGAAAGAGGAAAATTATAAAAGTGAAAAGGGAATGATAGGTTTCCTATAAAAGAAAAAGGAATAATGGATTGGAAAGAAAGTCATTTGCCTCAAGTACCTATTTCTCTTTTATTTTAAAGTATGAATCAATACAATAAGAGGAAAATCACAGCTTGAGTTTCAAATTTCATCAAGCATCAAAGTATTGAACCAAGAGTTGCAACAAAAGAAGAAGTATGTTCATTGAGCTAAATCTTTTAGAAAAACCAAAAGGAATGTGACCTCTCTTGCTAATGTTTTTCAAGAAACCATGTAGCTTGCTAACTTTATTGATTCTAATATGTGTGAGGTTGCAAAATAATGGGAGGATAAGTTTTAAATCCTTTTTTTTATTGTAGTGGTTGGGCAAGCTTTTTCCTGGTAGTACCTAAGGTTAGAGGGGTAAGCCTTACCTAAATGATATACAAGCCTTTTATGCAAGTGCTCAATAATTCAATATCTCAAACATTTATTTAATACTCTGCCACTAGCCATGCCTTTTAAAACAGACATGCATGCACATGAAAATTCTATAGATGCTATGCTTGAAGGTTAGTCTTTTAAAAACAGGGTCATTATGTAAATTTCAATTATATTTTATTTTTGATAAATATTTCAAGTATAGTTTATTACTTTGGTAAGCTATTCCATGTGAAGGTTTGAGAAGCTGTAGGTTTACCCTGAATTGTGATTCCATGCAGTATGACTTTCCAAAACAAGAAGCTGTGGTACAGTTTGTCATTGATGCTATCCAAGCTGAGGCTTTCCACCCAAAAACTCTATTTCTGATTGGTAGCTATACAATTGGTAAACTCCCTTCTATATTTCTTAAGGTTACTTCAATCAAATTTCTAGTTCCTGTACTGTTACTAGAATTTGATGTATTAATGATATCAAC